CTATCCGACACTATCGATTCCGACACTCCGTGTAAGGGAATGAAACGTGCATACTTACTCAAACGATCCACTAGCATCATGATCACCGTGAAACCTTCTGATCGCGACAATCTCCCGATGAAATCCATTGTCATTTCTTCCTACACTTTCCCTGGTAATGCTAATATTTGTAGTAACCCTCCTGGTGTTGTGGTTAGGTATTTGTGTCGTTGGCATGCATCACATTTTGCCACCATATACTCCGACGTCTTGGGTAGCATGAATAACCTCTAGTGGAGTAGTTGTTGTCCCCTCAAGGCATATACTGGATAACTGTTTGGATCCTGTAATATCTCGGCCTTTATCTTCCTCAACTCCTTATTTCGTTCACTATCCAGAACCAGTCCCTTGCAAATTCTCCGACTTTTCTCCACCTTCCCTGCCCCCATCATGATGTCGATTCTTCCTGCAATCAACAACGTCAACCCTAGATTCTCCACAACCTGAATTGAGAAAAAGTTATGTGTGGTCTCACTATCCACTAATACAACAATCAGTTTTTCCCCGATTCATCCCCTCACCTTCATGGTGTGATTCAGGGTAAATCCCACCACTGAATTGAGGGACACACTATCATATCCAAAGCAGATGCTCCTCCACTGTATCCTCGTTCTCTGTATCCTCCTCCTAAATTAGCAAAATCTGAAGGGCGCGCTCCTTACAACGGTATCCTGGAGTGTATTTTTCATCACAACGGTAAGATAATCTTTTTGTTGTTTTATTCTGCATTTCTGCATCTATGAGGTGCTTGAAACTACCCACTGGGTGGGGTCCAATATTCTTCTCCTTCAACATCTCTTTCTAAAACGACATCGTCTGGTCTTCGGTGTCGTGGCTGTCAAGGTGATCCTCCGGTGTTGCCACCTTTACTGGTCTTCTTCACCTGTTTTCTTGTTCTCCATCTAGGCGAGCTCCATCATTTCTCTCAATCCTCACGACCTCAAGGGGTGGATATCCGCTGGTATGTTGGGCTTCAGGCCATTCAAGGAGTTGCTTTCTAAGCTTGCTGTAGAAACCCCCCTCAGTCTCTCTGACAAGAGCTCAAACTTGTCTCAGTACTTCTTCACCGCCGTCCCCTCCTGAGTCAGAGCATAGAATTGCTCGTGTTGGTCTCGTTCTTGAATGGCTCAGAAACGTTCCAACAAACAATCCTTAAACTTCTCCCATGAGTGTATCAAATACCTTGACTCCATCCATTGGAATCACGCTAAAGTCTTCCCCTCCAAACATAATCTCATTCTCTTCCTCAGTCACCCCATTGATCACAAAGTATCACTGCACCCGATACACCCATCCATGTGCATCCTCCCCTTCGAAGATTGACATCTTCAGTTTCCCGATTGCATCTTTGCCCCAACCACCTCTTCCTCTGGTATTTCAACCCATGCATCTAGGGTGAAACTTCCTCCTTCGATCATAGGCATATCCTATTTCTATCCTATTTCTAAATTCCTCCCTCCATCGTGCTCTTTCGTGTCCCTTGCACTGTCCCTCCAATTTTCGGCCATCCCCCTCCATCGAAAGTCTCCACTCCCCCTCCTCTCAGAGTCATAGGGGGACACTCTTGTAGGTAGATGAGGTCTTCTTCGTTGTCTTCTCGCTCGATCTCCTTCCCTTTTGACCTAACCAAGGATTCCCTGGTCAATCGTTGACGGGAACAATTGGCACAGTCTTGGCTTGCATCTCCATGAGCTTTTTTATCATCTCCTGCATTTCTTTTATGCTTTCAAATCCATCCTCCATTCGGCTTTCAATGGAATAAAACCTATCCTCCATGTTGACGAACTTCTCTTCCATTCCTGATTTGATTTGCACAACCTCGCCTTCTAGCACACCCACTTTCTTTGCTGCCATCCCACCAAGATTTATGCTTTGATACCAATTTGATACTCCTCATAACCAAAATCAGCGAACAAATCACGATGAAATGACAATAGATAGGTGGAAAGAACATTGACGAGGGCTGCTCTTACAAAATATCAAAGGAAACAAGCAAGTTACAAAGTTGTTCTACTATTCGAGAGGTCAATTGTCTCTCCCACACCATAGTCGTCGCTGTGAACACCACAAGAAGAAAGAAAATAGCAGCCACAACAAAACATGCATAAAAAAAAGCAAACTCAAGGTTGTATCTCTAATAGAATCCCTTCACAGCATTTCAAAAACTTTCCTTTCTAACTTTTCCTCCAAACTTCTTTAATTTCACCTCCTTGCAAAGGTGATTATGGCCCCCCATCATTTTCTTTCCTTCTTCTACAGCTCTCTGCTTGCTCCACTTGTTCCCGTCACCAAGACTGCTTGTGCACGTATAGGCGTAAAAGTCTTTTGAGGGCATTTAAGGCTTGGTTGAGGAGATTGTGGTGGAGATGGGAGGGTGTTATTGAATTTTAAGCGAGTAGATTGTGGACAACTCGGTTGTGTGATTCTTGGAAAGGGAACTAATTTGAGAGTGGGTGGTGATATCAATTGAGTGGGGAGCTTAGATGGATTAATGGGATTGTGAGAGGGAAATACATCTTCATTGAATATAATATGATGAGAAAGATCAGTTTTGTTGGAGACAAAGTTGTGACACCGCTATCCTTTTTGTGCAGTGGCATAGCCGAGAAAGGCAAATGATCATGGACATTGCAAAGATGTAACCAAGACAAGAATATCTGTTGCGGCTGAAGGTATCCTATTGATTGTGTATAAACAGCAATTAGGGCATCTACCTAGAAAGATTGGGGTAACTTGGCTCGAGGAAACAGGTGCACACTGTCTCACTAAGATGGTGCTTTTGCTTGATAATGCCATTTTGCTCTGGGGCGTATAGACAAGTTTATTGATGAACTATAATCATGTGGGTCAGGAAATTTTGAAAGTTGGAGTTGATATATTGATATATTCTTCACCTCCTTCTTAGTGGAATATTTTAATTGGTGAGTTGTATGGATGTCCGACCATATTTTTGAATTGGAAGAATTTGAAGATTATTTCAGATTTTAATTTCATAGCATATACCCAATAAAAGTGCTAGTAATCATCAAGAAATAAAACATAGTATCCGTTGCCATGTGTGGAGGTGGTGGGGGATGGGCTGCAAACTCTAGTATGCTTGAGTGGCTTAGTTGCTGTTGCCAAAGAGCTAGGCTTTAGCTTACTGGAGAGCGGGGCAAATTAGTTAAATAATAAATAAATAGTATTTTATAACATTTCTATAGTAAATTTCATGAAAATATATACAAATTAAAATAGTGATATCTTTGATATGATATCAAAGATTTGTTCTGTATAAATGTAAAAAAAAAAAATTTAGGTGTTAGATATGTGAATACATAAGAATTGGGTGGTATGAGTGTAGATGTCCCCTTGAAATTTTCGTATTTTTGAAGTGATATGAAAGCTTTGGGTGGTTTAAATGTAAAATGAAAAATTTAGGTGTTAGATATGTATATACGTATGAGTTGGGTGGTATGCTTGTAAATGCCCAATAAAAATTAACTCCCGTGTCCTCGTGAAAGCTGAAGTGGGAATTCCCTTCAGCCTTTTATTCTCACATTGGGAACAAGTGAGGTAAAATCATTGTTTAAAAGCAAATGCAAAACAAAAACATACTGCTCCGTTTGAGCTGCGTGTGGCTAGCAGGCTGCTTTGAGTAGATTTATAAGTTTGACCATTTAAAGTTAAGAATTTAATTTTAAATTGGTTAGGCTACCTTGATTTTTTAAGATTCGTAAGTTATTATTTATTTTTATTAATAGTTAATAAGTTTGGGTATGATTGTGCTAAACCATTTGATAAAATTGAGCTTGAATCGTGCTTTAATAGCAAATGAACTTCTGGTTGAACAGGCCCAACTCAGTTTGCTTTCAGCCCTTTCGAGCTGAACATGAGCGGATTCGAACAAATAAATTTGAATCGAACCAAACATGAACATTCTCTTCATTAATCAGTTCGACCATGAAACTAATTTCAAGCCAACAATTTTTAAATGAGCCAAACACAAGCTGACATTCGGCTCTCTCAACTCTGCTCATTTACACCCCCTATTGGTAGTTGATTGGATGATCGGAAAAAGGACATCCTCCTCTGTTGGTCAAGGATGGTTTGCAGCTAGGGTTGGTTGGCGGGCGCCTCTAGTGGAGGTGGGATGAGCAAAGCAGGTCATGCCATGGCCTTCCAGAGAGAAGAGCAGTGGGTGAAGCTGAAGTTTGAAGAACATGGAGGTTTGCAACTGATTGGACATCTGGCTGCAGAGGAGAGAGTGGAAGTCATAGAGACCTATTGGTTGAAAGGTTATTTTAATGGCAACCTTGAAAGCCTAATATGTGGGGTGGCAGCCCGTTCATTCTATAGAGTTTGAGATTCTTAGTAGCTAATGGGGTTCTACCTGCTGTGATGTCATCAATTTTACACCGTCCTCTAAAATCTGTCAAAAGAATGTATGGTATTCTGATTTAACAATTAGCATCTGCAGAGCCGTTAGATCTACTGTAAAATTGGACATGGTATGCCACCTTTGGATCAGTTGGGAAAGAGACTCGCATTATACTCCTCAATTGGTAGTGCTGATAATCGGGCAAACTTTATATTTTTGGATTTATCATGTTTACCCAATCAATACCTCCTTCTGGTATTCTGTTATCTATTGTAAACTTGTCAAATATACATATTTCTGCTTCTGAGGATGTACGATTTCGTTGTTTTAACTTTTTCTTCGCAGAATTTGTAAATTTTCGCTTCAGCTACGAACATTGTTACATTTTATTTTATTCACATGAAAATTGAGTCGACTATCTTTAATCTTTTAACTTAAGTCTTCCTTTGATTTTCACCGACTCCCTTTACCAGGAAGTGGTCCCTGAATTGCATTTGTCCGCTTAAAAGTTTCTTGTTTGTTACTGTCACTTGTATGGTGGATCGTTTTGTCGAGGCATTTTGAATAATATTATTGCTTGTAGTTGCTAACCTTTTTGCAGTGTTTGCTTATGGATGCAGGGTAAGCTGGCAGAAATATCACTTCAGCATTTGAAACTGAATGATTTCATTTACGTTTCTGGTCCTTTGGGTTCATATGAAAAACTTAATTCAGCTGGTCAGCCTGAGGTCATTTACAAGGTTAACAATTGTAAACCTTCTAGTCTTCATTTTTTTTTTTAATTCTAGGTGTTATGTTGTTCTGCTTTGTTTTGGCTTTCGGCCCGTTTGATCAACTTTACTAGAAAAATCATGGATATTTTTTTCTTGTCCTCTTAAACCAAGGACGTTATAACATTTTTGCAGATTGCCAATTCAGATATAGTGGTAAAATCAATCGTCAGACTGCATTACTTTTAATTTTTTTTGAGCAGTTACATTCATACTGTCAAATTCCTATATATTTACATATCTGACACCCAGACATTATTTTTTACATTTTTACCACCCAAGTATTTTATATCACATAAAAAATACCAGTATATTAGCTTTTAAAAAGTGAAATACGGATTTTCATGGATAGGTAAGGTGACATATATGTAAAAATTAAAATTTAAGTGTTAGATATGTAAATACATAAGAGTTGAGTGGTATGTATATAAATCTTCCTTTTTAAAATGCTTGACTCCATTTTCCCATCTTTTTTTTTAAAACTTTCGGCCTGTTTGTCGACCCCACGTAGCGGGATTAAGGCTTTGTTGTTGTTGTTGTTTCGGCCTGATTGATAAACTTTTCTATGAAAATCATGAAAATTATATCTTCCTCATTTTAAACTAAACTCTTAACATCTTGCAGTTTTTTTTTTTTTCTTATAACATTTTACAAATTGCCAATTCACATATAATAGTAGCCTACTCTGTTATCTATTGGACTCACTTGGCACAACTTTCGCAGGTTTTTGTTCAAGAGTTGAACTACATTTCACGAGTCGATCGAAACTGCACAACATCGACGCCGGCAGAACAACATTCTGAGAAATCGTTATCTTCCCCTTCTGGTCGTTATATCGTCCACTTATTTTTTATTATTATTTGAAAATTGTGTAGTGATAATCCAACCATTTTGACTCTCGACGTTGGTCTCTACTGCAGGTGCTCGGAGGGAGGAGATGTCAGGTGAATATGTTAAGTACATTGTCTTAATCCAACTGAAACTCACTTCCCTGACAAAAAAAAAAAAAATGGTCTTTTGTTCTTATTCTTTTTAGAAAGGTTGCATTTGTGGCAATTATTCTTTGCCAGCCCCAGTGATTGGTGGGACAATAGGCGCCCTAAGAAAAACCCTAACTCTCCAGATTTCAAACACAGGGATACCAAGGAATGTTTGTGGCTAAGTCCAAATGACCCTCATTGGGTAAGAGAGCAGCTTAGACTGTATGATGCTAACACGGGAGGTGGATTTAAGAGGGATTCCATTGATTTACTTGCTTCATACAAGTGGGAATTCAAGGATTGATAGAAGAAGCAAGTGTCTGGGCATTTGAAGTGGGAATTCCTCTAGATATCTTGATACAATTCTCTCAAGAGAAAATGCTGCATGGAATTGGTTTCTCAAATAGCAGAAGCTGGCAAGTGAATGGATGGGCGGGCCGGTGGCCGCGCGGGCAAGCGTGTGCGTGCGTGTACATCCGTGTAAAAATTGGGTGTTAGATATATAAATGCATTGGAATTAAGTTTTATGTATGTATATCTTCCTATACTTTTATATGCATTTGTCTAGTTTTAGTTTTGTGAATGATGAGGTGATCTAATAGTGTTGAAAATGGAACTTTAAAAAAATGATGATAAATGCTTGTAAATGTGTAAAATGTGTATTGTATGTTTTGAAAATTAAATTGTGTGACATGTACTACATATTTTGCCCCATCCTCACCCATTATATAATAGCTTTCCTTCTCATTTTAGGTCTAGTCCGCACTCTCCTAATAAATAGAACCCTGGTTTCAAGAAAAAAATATTACATCAGTACTACGCACGTAGAGTAACGTGCGTACCCAATGAAATCACGCCACGATACCCCGCGCGACGCAGAAAAAAAAACGACGCAGTAACACCGACGCAGTAACACGGGAATATTCTCCCCCGTGTTATTCATGTGTTATTTATGTGTTATTGTGTTATTATAACACCAAGAATATTTTCAGGACACATAACACATGAATAACATAATAACACATGAATAACACCGGGGGGGATATTCTTCGTGTTACTGCACCATTTTTTTTTTCTGTCGCAAGGGGTGTCGTGGCGTGATTTCATTGATTACACACGTTACTCTACGTGCGTAGTACTGATGTAATATTTTTTCTGATTTCAAACCGTCCCCTGCCCCTCATTTCACCAAATCTATTTTCCCAAATGCAACTTCTTAAAATGTTAGTCTGTTTGCATGGCATTTTATCCCCATGTATGATCATAGCATGCAACGACTTAATACATTTTGAGAGTAGTTCATCCTGAAGTTTGCATCATGCCTGGTTCAACCCTGGTGAAATTTCTTCAAAAAAACTCTCGCAAAAATCACATAAACTTAGGGAAAAAAAAAATCCTACCCATAATGTGAATCTAAATGTGACCACCAACTACCATTTCAAATAGCAGCAACGAACTAACAAGAAAAAGGGAATATTTTTAGAGCACCACAGCCATTGCATCAGTCAAATTTCTAAGAGGTATAATTATTAAGGCAGTTGCAAATGTATCTAATTATACATTTATCCCCCCACAAGCAGAATTTCCAAGCAAAATTAAACATTTGACAGGTTTCTGAATTGTCCAATATACAACATTTTGATGAGCATGTTAATCTGAATCAAATTCTGATGATGCTGCATACGCATTGGGATCTAACAACATCATCATCTTACACAATGTTTCTCCCATATCCTCCACCTCCTCTTTACCAAATCCCCAGCTTCTGAGCAACTCGACACCCAGCGCTCCTCTCTCCAACCCATACCTGCGCAGACTCCCCAGCCTTCTCTCTATAAAGGGCTTGACGGCGCTGCTGGATCGAAGCCGAGCAGCCATGGGAACCGAGTCTACTTCCAGGGAACCCCTTCGTTCTGCTTCTTGGAGTGTAGCATTAGACAGCTCCCCTTGTCGTCCCACACGGTTATTGAAGATTGAAGGAAACGGTAGAGGAATAGGGAGAGGACAAGAGGCAGCAGTGAGATGATAGAACATTGGTCTCTGGAGCTCGTTCTGGTATTCAGTGTGAATATACTCCTCAACCTCAGAAACTGAAGCCCTCCGTCCACCTGATGGCAACATATCACATCATTTCATTTGAATGAACCAAAGCAATCACATTCGTGGCATACAATTCTTCTGTATTTACTTTTTTGGCACCAAAACTTTCATATTTACATACATAGTTATGCACGAAAATGTGTATTTCGCTTCTAAAAAGTGGTAATAGTGCTATTTTTTGATGTAATATTATAAAAATTTGAATGTTGTATCTGTAAATATCAAAGTTTAGGTGTGAGAAATGTAAATAGAAAAAGATTGTGTGCTATGTACGTAAATGACCTAAGAAAATCGATATGTTTTCAAGGGAACAAGCTGTGGACATCATGTAACGGTAGAGTGTTGCATGCATAACCAAATATTTCTTCTAAGAATTCATGGAGATTGTGAGCGGTAAGGAGTGAGCAGTTTGAATGGCATCCTTCTAGCATGTGTTTTCTGCATGATAATCTGTGTAAAATAATATGCACAGGAATGCATTGCGATAAGGAAAGATGAATGAAACTCTAGATATTGACGTTATATGCACACATGCTTAGTAATACTAGGCAAGATGATCAATTCTCATGAAAATATTGCTTATTTATGTTATGTTTATTAGTGTTCATATCTTTTGATGAGATGGATGCAATCACAGATAGCATGAACGAAAGATGTGCTTGTATTTAGGTTCGTTTGAAAGATGACCTGATATAAAGGGCAAGGAAGCACAAATTATATTTGTGCTGTGATGTCTAATCTGCAGGTTGATGAAAAGATGATCCTATCTATTCGGCTACAATCCTCTCCAACCTACACAAATGTTGGCAAATGTTGGCAAATAGAAAGGACTGCAATCCTGCCAAAATAGATGGCAATGGGATTGGGCATAGGCAAGTAACTCATGCCGATATGAATAGGGTGAAAACCCTATCAAAATGACTGATACAATCTTGAGCAAAATTCGATACGGTGCTCCACAGAAATTAAGACAAAACATATATTTTTATTTTAATAATTCAAACAACTCAATAAGAATACAAAGATAAGCACTTACGATTCGAGAGGTAGGCGATCTCTCCTAATTCCTACCATTCGAAAGGTAAGAAATCTCTCCCAAAACCTAAATATAAGACTCACAACTCAATCTCATGCATATACTTAACCCTAAACATAACAAATTTATTTTTACCCAATAATAATAATAATAATAAAAGACTAAATTATTCTTAGGCGTACAAAAGACAAGTTGCCCTTAGGCTAGGCGCACTAGTAACAATACTCCCCCAAAATACACATTGTCCTCAAGATGGGAAAAAATGAGAGTGCTCCTCCCCCACAACTGTCTCAATTTCCTCATTCTTTGTTTCCTCGGTCTGCACTCTGAGAACTTGTAATCTTTGATCCTTACAACAATGTCCTGAGGTAAAATTCTCATCACACTGAAAACATAACTCATTGGATCGCTTCTCCCAAATATGTCTCTGTAAGGCACTTGAATGATGCTTCTATTCGTGGTCCATTATACGTGTCCCGTGCAGCCTTCCAATGGATTTCCATTGTCTGAACTTTTGGCATTGTCGTGGTTGCAACATATCCGTATGTCGCTCCATCCGTGTGTTGCTCCAGTTGACTGTCTTCATCTGGTTATTGTCTTTCACCATCTGGGCTAGTCCCATCATCTTCCTCAATCCCCGAGGTTTTAGTAGTGGAAGTATTGCCTGTATGTCGGGATTTAAGCCCTTCATGAAGTCTCCTCCAATCTGCTTCAGAAATCCCCCTCAGTCGTCCCGACAGTAGTTCAAATATCTTCCTATATTCCATGATTGTCCCTTCTTGAGTCAAAGCATAGAATTGCTCCTATAGGTCTCCTTCTCGAATGGCTCGAAATCGTTTCAATAAACAATCCTTAAATTCATCCCACGAACAAATCAGACATCTAGCCTCTACACTGAAACCAGGATAAGTCTTTCCCCTCCAAACACAATTTTGCCGCCATGAGTTTCTCCTCCCCATTCAACTCATTCACTGTGAAGTATTACTTCGCCCGATATACCCACCCATGGGCGTCTTCCCCCTCGAAAATCAACATCTTCAACTTCCTAACTCTAAGATCGCCACCCCAACTTTCTCTTCCTCCATTGTTTCCCCCAATGTATCAAGGGTGAAACTACTTCCTTCGATTGTAGCCATATTTCCTTTCTGCTTATGTCCTTCTTTGTGCTCCTCCATACCTTTAACATAATACCTTCTCCATATTTCAGTCCATCCGCCTCCAACAAAAATCTCTAATCCACCACTAATTGGAGCCCTGAGAGGAGGTTCGTGATGGTAGATATTTTACTCCCCATGGTCCTTACATTCGATCTCTTTTCCTTTCGACATGTTCCTCACATTTGATCTCTTCTTTTCGATATTGCCACTGATTCTTCAATCAACCTTTGGTTACAGTTTGCAAATTAAGTTGTCGGCGGGTTTTGGATTGCATCTCAATGAGCCTCTTTAGCATCTCTCGAATTTCCCCCATTGTCTCAAATCGATCCTCCAGTTAACTCTTTATAGAAGAAAACCTCTCCTCTGTGGTGGCCAAACATTCTTCGATACTTCAAAAAAAACATTTCGATTTCAAAGACATTTTATATCATGAATTTCTTTCATCTACTCAGCTAGCTCTTACATATCAGGTACTCAAATCAAAGTTTTCGGATCATGTTAATCCCATCAATCCCGTCATCACTTCCCAATTAGCACCTACTGCGACTGTACACACACAAATTAACGTGATCCTGAAATATGAGAGTTTAGGGTCCCTGTGCGCCATGATCCCTCACGCCTGCCTTCCCAGATAGCCTTAATCGTGACTAGATTGCGTAGACGGCGCGAGAGGAAGAAAAAATAGAAGTTTCCTGCTCCCTCGCGATGCCTCGCGATCCCTCGCGACTGCCATCCCAGATAGCTCTGATCGCGACTAGATCGCGTGGACAGTGCATCGCGGCTTCCCCAACCTGTTAGAATCGTGATTGTATCACTACAATCTCATTGTATCGTGAGCTTTGGTCACACAGGAGCCATCATCGTGATTGTAGCGGCTCGTCCCTTCCCTTTGCGATTCTATATGTTGTGATGCTTCCTATGAGTGCTTCAGCTCTGAACGCTGCGATCCCTATTTTTTTCCAGAACTTTTTAAGCAGAAATTGAGGGATTTGTCGATTTAAATCCTCGTCCAAGAAGAGAAGACTTGCGTCAGCTTTCAGTCAAGTGGATGATCATCTATTCTGTCGATCCGATTTCTAAAATCTTGAGCTCTAATACTAATTTGATGTGATTCGGAGCAAAATTTGATACAGTCCTCCACACTCGTCAATGAGAATACAAAAATAAGCACCTACGATTCGAGAGGAATGCGATCTCCCCAAAGTCCTACAATTTGATAGGAAACCTCTCCCAAAATCTAAACCTAAGACTCAAAACTCAATCTCATGCATAAACTTAAACCTAGACATAACAAACTTATGTATACCCAACAATAATAATAATAATAATAAAATAAATTGCCCTTAGATGTACAAAAGACAAATTATCCTTTGGCTAGATGCCCTCGTAGCAACTACCTATTGTAAATTAATTCATGTAAGCTCTTACATGATGACGAAGATGATTAAGTTATTTTCATATGTGCCTAGTAGGATTTCATCTGTAAGCCCTCATATCGATGTAACACTACATGGATGTGATAATTAACATAAGAGATGACCATTGTCCCTGCTTTCCTTGTTTACGCTCTATTAGGGTAGACATAGTGATAATGATTGATCTTTCTACATTTACATGTATGTATGTATGTATATATATAAATATATATTATATATATACATGGATGGTTATAGGATCTTGAAAAAGTAACGTAAATGATGTCAGGTGCACTTTTTTTTTTTGAAATTTGAGCCGTAATAACGGTGATAGGTCCTAGGGCAAGTGGGGTCTGAATAATCTTTCTCTCACCCATGATAGGAGGTTCCAGAGACTGTTGAGTGGTTGTAATATTGCCTGCGAGAATAATGACGTCTTTGGGGGCATTCTTTTGATTATCAATATTGTCAATAACTTAGAATTGATTATGAAGAGATGAAATCACTCTCTGGCGGAGCACTGTGCTTTTTTGGTCTGATGTATGGATGTAGATGGGATGTAGATGGTGGTATTGAGAACTGGAGTGACCAAACATACGACAGTTTGAACAATACGAAGGAAAAGACTCAATCACCACCTTTTGCCAATACCCCATAATGTTGTGTGCCCAACCAAATTTTCTCAGAAACAGATGAAGTGATGTCTCTTTTAACAAGTACTTTGGCTTTTGATGGACTTGAAAAATTAAAAGTAGGAATATTCATTTTGAATGACTTACCATAAGCTGAGGCAATAACGTACAAAATTTTTTGAGTAAAATAATAAAATTTCAAACCAGGGAGACAGATCCAAACCTGAATGATTGGAGGTTCCGTCTGAGGGTCAAAATCCACAGACCATTTCAAAATCTTCATTGTTTTGTTATCAATCAAGATTATCCTTCTAGCAAATAAACGTGTGTAATTCTCTTCATTATTAATTTGTATGAGAATGTGTCTTACATCTAACAGTCCAATTTTTCACTCCCCAATCAGGTGCATAAGCTCAAATTCTTTACGAATCAGCTCCATTTTTGGATGACCATACAGAAATTTCTCAATTAAATTCAGTCGACAGGAGGAAGTAAGCTAAATACCTTCAGTTTTTGTAAAAAAGATGGCGGACTTCCTATTTTTCATTCCAGGTTTTTCTTGATATCCTCCTCTCACTCAAACGAATGAGGGAAAAAACACGATTTTGGTGTACTTGAGGCGGCGTTGACATTCGCAAGAGCAGCAACATACAATCTATCTGAAGCCATCCCCAATACATGGAGGTGTGGCGTTAAGAACAATGAAGAAAACAATGAAGAGCAAAGTCAGAATCCAGAAAGTCCAAATCCAGAAAACAGGGAGCAGGA